GTTCAGATATTCAGAGATTCAGAAATTCAGAAATTCAGAAATGCAGAAATTCACGAAATTCAGAAATTCAGAAATTCAGAAATTCAGAAATTCAGAAATTCAGAAATTCAGAGATGCAGAAATTCAGATATGCAGAAATGCAGAAATTCAGAAATGCAGAAATTCAGAGATGCAGAAATTCAGAAATTCAGAAATTCAGAAATTCAAAAAATCAAAAATTCAGAAATTCAGAAATTCAGGAATTCAGAAGTTCAGGAATTCAGGAATTCAGAAATTCAGAAATTCAGAAATTCAGAAATTCAGAAATTCAACTATTCAGAAATTCAGAAATTCAGAAATTCAGGAATTCAGATATTCAGAAATGCAGAAATTCAGAAATTCAGAAATTCAGAAATTCAGAAATTCAGAAATTCAGAAATTCAGAAATTCAGAAATTCAGAAATTCAGAAATTCGAAAATTCAGAAATTCAGAAATTCAGAAATTCGAAAATTCAGAAATTCAGAAATTCAAAAATTCAGAAATTCAGAAATTCAGAAATTCAGAAATTCAAAAATTCAGGAATTCAGAAATTCAGAAATTCAGAAATTCAGAAATTCAGAAGTTGAGAAATTCAGAAATTCAGAAGTTGAGAAATTCAGAAATTCAGAAGTTCAGAAATTCAGAAATTCAGAAGTTGAGAAATTCAGAAATTCAGAAATTCAGAAATTCAGAAGTTCAGAAATTCAGAAGTTCAGAAATTCAGAAATTCAGAAATTCGGAAATTCAGAAATTCAGAAATTCAGAAATTCAAAAATTCAGAAATTCAGAAATTCAGAAATTCAGAAAATTCAGAAATTCAGAAGTTGAGAAATTCAGAAATTCAGAAATTCAGAAATTCAGAAATTCAGAAATTCAGAAATTCAGAAATTCAGAAAATTCAGAAATTCGGAAATTCGGAAATTCAGAAATTCAGAAATTCAGAAATTCCAGCCAAACCTGTTTTTAGCTTCCTGCTCTTCCCGAAAATTTTCCATCAAAATGTTCTGTTTCATCTCATGTTCCAGATTTTTCTTTCTCCTAAATTCCTCCTCCCTTTTGATGTTAGCATCAATTTCCTCAACGAATTTCTCATTTTTTGCTTTATTTTCAGCTTTTCCTTTCTGATATTGAGCATTTCTCATGTCCTCGATTTCATTTCTCAAGCACTCGTTTCTAAAAAATTTACCGTGAACACTCTAATAGAGAACGTCCCCCCCCCCCCCGTACCATCCACTTTGAACCTATATGTCTCACTTCTTTCGAGAGATATCGAAAAGTTGTCAACTGATAAAATGTTTATCATGGTATCAGCAACATTTTATCAGTTGAGAACTTTTTGCGATCTCTTACAGAAAATGATA